CATCCAGGATTCATCCAGTTTCAACAATGGTGAAGGGGAGATAGGTCATTGAGAATGAAGTCTTCCTGAACCTTTCATGTATTCTGAATGCTTGAGGGTTAACCAGTGTCACCAACCAGAACCTGAAAGGTGATGAGTTTGTTCAACTCAAGAAGAGTACAGACTCTCTGTGGGACATCCAGAAAGACATCAAAGACCTGTGACATTTCCGTCTTAAGCTGTGGAAGTTTAAAAACTAAGTGATTAATATGAGCCTTTAGCAATCATCCATGTACGTGGACCACAGTTTGCTTTTCTCTTCCTAAATATGCAAATTTGGGCCCACAAGCTTAAAGCTCATGGTGGGCTTAATGTTTGTAATATGAGCCCTTAGAAAAATGAAATTAATATCATAGTGGGAGGGGGAGGAGAAAAGATCCACTCAAACCTAGTCAGTAAAAAAGTTCTCATTTAAATAGAAAATATCCACATTTAAATAGAAAATAAACCATATACACAAAATTCTACAGTATACTCAGATTATATGGGTATTAGTAAAGTTATGTAAAAGCAGTGTTGCTTCTCTTACCCAATAAGCTGCCAGGGCCACTGTTATTATCAGGCTATAGAAGCTCAGGACTCCAAGAACCACCACCAGTACCCAGAAGGGCTGAGAGGACTCGGGAATTGGGGGCTGTGGACAAAAATGTTTCTCTGAAAAAGAGAAAAGAGTGAGTTAAATGGCACAGGAATGGCAGTTGAATACATTTTCTTCTGAACATCATAAAAGAATGTGAGAGGTGGAAAAAAAGAATATGAGCAAAATATGAAATATCACTGTCTTAGAGAATGTAGATTTGCATTTTTATGTTTAATCTGGTTTTATTAAATCTGATTTTACATATGTAACTTCCAGTGTGTCTTAATGCAAATCATCTCAACAAGAAATCAGTTCATCTAGACCCTAAGCTATTTATATCCAGATTTATCATTGACAGAAATTAAACAAAACACAAGTTTTTAGGTCTTAAGAAAATCATCTGTCTAATATATCAATCAGAATACCTAACTGGTAATCAAAAGGTAAGGTTTTGAGGGTGCTCTGGTGGCCTAGTGGCAAGAAGCTTTACTGCAATCCCAGAGGTATGCAGTTCAAATCCACCAGATGCTCTGCTGGAGAAGGAGGTGCAATCTCCTCCTGTACCTGTCAGATCCAATTTGACGGTACACGCACAAAATAATAAAAAAAAAAATCTAAAAAAAAAGGTAAGGTTTTAATTACAATTCCAACCTAATAGACCATAAAGTTATGTCAGTGGGAATCAGAAATGTGATGCTGGAGTCTACAGAGCTCAGTTTAAGAGCCACAGCAAATTATAATGGAAAAGAACACCCAACATCAGTGTGCCCAATGATGTTCCATCCTGGCTTCACCTGGATTACTTGAGGATGTTTGTAAGCAGGCTATTGCCCAGTACTCAGATTAATTACAGAGAGATCTCTAGCAAGGGAGTCTGGGCTTTGGTGTCCTTTGAAACATAGCTTGATTTATAACATTGAAAATTATTAAGATAAAGGGCCGTTGATGTTCCTCCCAGTTCTAACACTCTTGAATAGAATGCTGTCATCTGAATTCTTGAATTTAATGCTACCATCTAAAAAGTAACTTAATTTTGAAAGTATTGTTAATAGAACAGAAAGTCTGTGAATCTGACTTGGACCCTTCTTACGTAAAAGAAGAATCCCTGGTGGTGTAGTGCTTTACATATTGTGCCACTAGCTGAAAGGCCGGTCATTTAAATCCACTCGTTGCTCCTTGGAAGAAAGTTGGGCAGCCTCCCCTCATAAATATTCACAGCTTCAGAAACCTAATGGAGGATCATTATGAGTTGAGATCAAATTGGTAGCAGTGGTTTCATGCAAAAAATGGACAAAAATAACAGAAATGAAATGTATTCTAAAAATAGTAGTCACCTGTGCACACAGGTAGCTCTGAAGGCATAGTCCATAGAGAGCCCTGCTGCTAATCTGTGTGCAGCTAATCAACTGTGCCTTTCTGGAGGTTCGAATCCACCAAGATGAGCAATCACCTCCAGTGTGATGTACAGCTGGGAAAACCCAGGGGAGGGTCAGCTATGAGTTGGTTCCTACTTGACAGCAATGAGTGAGTAATGTCCCCTCTGTCTTGAAAAACTATAGAAGTGATAGACAAAAATAAGGGACAAATTACATAGGAAAAAATGTATCAGTCTTAATATCTATTGCTTGCATGGCCTTTTCAAACCCTTTATGTTGATCTAACTATAATATTCTGCCCAGACACTAGAGATATTAAAAGTCTGAATGGGACTGAATAAGCAAAATATTTATAATGCGTAGTTATCTCTACTCTACATAGGGTTTTCAACAACAACAGTTATCTCTATTTTTTTTGGAAGTTACTTTGCTATATTATGTCAGTGGTCTCTTCCTCATTTAAATTCTATTTTTCATCAGAAAAAAATGACATAAAAGGAATATTTTTAGGAATTATGTCAGTACTAATAAACATAAAACTGATTACAAGTCTTATTTAGCATTCTACAAAAGAAAAAAACTGTAGTGCATGCATGAAGCATGTAAACAAAAAAAATCTATGACATCTCTCAATTTTGTTTGTTCCTAGTAATAAATTTATTTTCTTTGAGTTTGAAGGTCTAATGATTTTCCTTCCTAACGTTTATAAAGAATACAATCTCAACTGAAAATCTCAGTAGATTTATGTCCTCTGTTTCTCCAAAAGGCTTACCTTTTGGTGTAGTGTCTATAAAGAGTTATGCTGCTAATAGCCCAAAGGCCAGGTCTCTCTGGCTATTCAAATTGACCAGAAGGATGGGCAATATTCTCCCATATGGCTTAACACCGTTAGAAACACATGGGAAGGTGAACTATGAGTCGATTCCAACTGGACAGCAGTTGAACTCTCAAACACTGCTTAATAGTATTTGAGTTTTAGGCCACAGAAAAGGTGGGGTTACTCAAGATCAGTTAGTTAACAGCAAATTTCATGTCCCTTAGTCTCTGGTCCAGCAGTCCCTGGACTAATTTTGGAAAAGAGGAGAATACTTTTGTAGAGGAAGATTATGAAACACAAAGAAACTAAGAGCCCAAGTCTATGAATTAGAATGGAACCTGTCCTTCCTGAATATTGATCCATTCAACCCAGCTGCTCCTTGTTGGCACCTGAGTGAGAGGTTTACATTAATGTCATGTAATTTCCTTGGAATTTTCAGAGTAATTCAGGTGACTTTGCTGTCAATTGTTGTCCAGATCACACCTGAGAGTTTACGCAAATAGAAAGGCCACTCTGTGATTATCAGTTGACCTCAGGAGAGGTAGACTAATTCAATCATGCGCATGTCACAGGGCCCTGAGAAATGTTCTGGGCACAGTAGCTTTATGAGTCTCCTAGTTGGTGAAAGATGCTGATCAGTTTAAGACAAGAGTGGGTCCCTTTTCGGGATATTTGTACATTGAGAATCCTCCCTGCCCTTATTCATACATCTCTTTATTTATGTCCATCTTTTTATAATAAAACTGTAATCTTAAGTATAAGTGATTTTGTGAGTTCTGAGTCATACTATCAAATATTCAACCCAAGGAAATAGTAAAAGTCAGCAGATCAGAAGCAAGGGGTGCCCTGGAAAGCCCTGAATCTATGGCTGGCATCCTCAAGGGAACGCTGGTGGCCTGGTGATAAGAAGCTGAATTACAATTACAAAGGGACACAGTTTGAATCCACCAGCAGCTCCATGAGGGAAGAATGCGCAATCTCTTCTGATTTACTGCCTCTAAAAACTTGCTTTAGGGTCAGCTATGAGTCAGTTCCGACTCAACAAGGCACAACAACAACAATCCTAAAAGTGTAGAAGGAAAACTCTGAATTTGTAGACTGCAAGTCAGAAGTAAGATAAGTGCACAGGACTCACACTTGTGCATGCTGTCTGAAGTCTTGGGCTGAGATGGCAGTCTGGAAGACTATGCCCTTTAATTTAGGTCTGACCCAGCTCTGAGTGGCTAGGGTAGTAGGAAGAAGGGCTGCATGTGCAACTGATAACAGAAAGAGAGTGTAACAGAATTGATCACATATTCATTTGCATTGATGAATTGATATTTGGTGACAGAGAAGTGGGAGGTAGCATTTGTTTGATTTTCTACAGTGGCTGAGCTTACACTTGAATGACAGTTTTCAACTCTTTTTCCCCTCATTATCTGCTCAATGGAGAATAATTCTATGAACAATCTAGTCCTATAGACTGTGACTTTATCCTCTATCCTCTCACTAAATATCAGTAAACAAAGAAAAAACATTCAAAATACAGCCTCTAAAGTAAAAAAAAAAATCCCTCAAACTATTGTTCAACTTTATTAACATCACCTAATCTGGGGCTTATTTAATTCTTTCCCTGATCATGACCTAGTTTTCAAGACTGCAAGAGAAAATTGTTTCTTTAGGTTGGTACATTTTTTTTTTTTAGGTTGGTACATTTTTAGAGCTACATGTTACCTTTCACGTGGATAATGGTTCCATTGTTGTTCTCATTACGTATATAAGGAGGAGGGTACATGACTTCAATTTTGCAGAAGTAAATATCTGTGTGATTAGCAGACAAATTCCAGAGGCGGAACGTCACTGTTTCATTGTCCATGGTCCCATCACAGTTCAATCCTTTGAGTTTTGAAAGAAATTGATACTCATGGGAAAAATTCCCGTTCACAGTACATACTTCCTCATTACTGTTAACTCCCTTATAAAGGGTGGCTTGGAACTCCTTTGAAAAGAGGTTGTTAGTATAGTTGCAGCTAAGATTCACGACACGGTTCTCCACTATGAGCTTGGGCTCCTGCTTCACAATAATCTTGTTTTCTGGAGGGAAAAAGAATTTTCTTAGAACAAGGGTATAAGAATCATTTTCCTTTTTCTGAAAACAAGAAATATTAATTAACAAACTCTGCAGAACTCTAACAAGGTCTCTTGGCAGACAAAGATACAAGAGTTCTTTGGAAAATAATTATACCTACAGTTCAATTATATCGGTTTAAAGGCTAGGAGGTGCATTGTACATTGACTTACCTAAGATGTGGTCTTTTCAATTGCTCCCTATGCATCTAAAATCTGGACAATGAATAAGGTTGACAGAAGAAGAACTGATGCCTTTGAACTGTGATGTTGGAAAAGAGTACTGAATAGCCTATAGACTGCCAAAAGCACAAACCAATCTGACTTGAAGTACAATCAACAGGCTCCTTTGAAGCTTGAATGGTAAAACGGAAACTTCATCTCACATACTTTTATCATGTTGTCAGTAGGGACAAGTCCAAAAAGAGAGAGAGAGAGAGAGATGGACAAAGGAAGAAATAAAATTAATATGAATATGCCAGACAAAGTGAAGGAGCAGAGTGAGAGAGGAAGATATTCACTAAATTGGGTTGATATAATGACTGTAATAACAGACTAGAGCTTATCCTGGATCATGAGGATGGTGCAGGATAAGAGAAGGTTCAGATCTGTTGTTTATAGGTTGTTATGAGTCATGGCAGACTTGAGGGCAGTTAACAACAAGAGGGAGTTCTGTGGCTCAGTGGTAAGGAGTTGCACTGTCAACACAAAGGAATGGGCTCTGAATCTATCCATTTCTCTTTAAAAGAAAAATGTACAATCTCTCTTCATGTGGTTTACTGCCTCTGAAAACTTGCTAATCAGCAATGAGTAAGTTCTGACTTGATGGCATATAACAACAACAAGAGTTTAAGAGTTTAAATATTATACTATTTATCTTTCCTTTGGAACAAAATAATGGATCATGTCTTCACTTGGAAGATAGAATATAACCAACACTCTTAACACCAGAAGTAAGGAAATCAAAAGGCGAATAGCATTGGGGAAACCTGCCATCAGACCTCTCCAGAGTGCTGAAAAAGCAATGATGTCAGTCTAGAGACTAAGGTGTGCCTAATGCAGGCCATGATCTTTGCAATTTCTTGCTATGCATCAGAGAGCTGGACAACGACTAAGGATGACAGAAGAAAAATTGATGCCTTTGAATTGTGATGCTGGAGAAGAGTCTTACATATATCATGGACTGCCAAGAAAACAAATATTTGATGTCTTGGAGAGGTGAAACCAAGTTTCTCCTTGAAGTCTAGGATTTTGAAGCTCCGTCTCACATAGTTTGGGCAAGTGGCCAGGAGGGACCAGTTCCTGGAGAAAGACATCATGCTTGGAAGGGTGGAGGAACTGTGCAGGAGAGAAAAACTCCAGATGAGATGGATTGATACAGTAACTGGGGCAATGGGGGTTGGTGTGTAGGAATTAGTGAAACTGGCTCAGGATAGGGCAGGGTTCAGAGTTGCTGTACATAGGGTCACTATGGGTCACAGGTAATTTGATGGCACATAACAACAACAACAATTGGCATTAATTACTACCATTTGCACCTTGAAACTTTTAATCTATTCAGATTCCTAAAAATATTAATCCTGCATTGGGTTGATTTCTTGAGTAGAATATTTGGAAATAGCTTTGAATACGTGACATAACTAGGCAACTATAACAGTTTTTAAGTCGTGATACGGGTTTTTGTGAAAGAATTAAAGTGTTCTGAAATATTTTGACTCTTTTTGTTGGCTATTCCATGAACAGGGTAAAGAGGGAAATGAAAAGGTAGCCCAAAGACTTTGTCAGAGAACAGCCTCCTTAAGAAACTAATAATATTTGTCCTTCTACTTTTATGTTATCCCAGCAAAAGACCAAAGAATCTCAAGGCAATTTAGTTCAGTTTCTTCCCTTTAAAGTCAAAGAACCAGAAACCAAATTATAAACTCCCTTAGAAAAAAAGAATATATCCATCTTGTTTACTCTTGGGACACATTGCATGGCATTTAAAAATCTATTCAAATGTATTTGTGTGTTTAATGAGTGACTGTATGAGACCTAGAGATATTGGATGACTTGTCTAAAAGGCATTGAACAAATGGTAAGCAAAACCAGGACTGAAATTCAAGTCCACCACCAGCACCTGAGAAATACCTTGAGATTCAAATTTCAATGAAAACAAAAATTTTTTGGCTATTATTTTGGGATATGCTAATAATTATCTGTGTACTTAACATTTTAAAAGAAAAGGTGGTTATTTGGAGCAAATAATTCCATACATCTACACTGTGACGTCAAGAAAGTAAGAATCCCTTCAATGTAGTTTATGATTCAGCAATAATATGTATTCAGTTATATAGAGATTTGAATTCAAGAACATGGATGTTTTGGTTTTGTCTTAGAAAGAAAGAGCATCATGTTATTGTTGTCGTTGTTGTTGTTAAGTACCATCAGGTCAGTTGAGACTCATAGTGACCCTATGTACAACAACAGCACTGAACCTGGCTCTATCTTGAGCCAATTCCATTGTCTCTGACACACCTGCACCTATTAACCCAGTCACTGAGTCAATCCATCTTATCAAGGGTCTTCCTTCCTTGGGCTGACACTCCACCCTTCCCAGCATAATATCCTTCTCCAAGGACTCATGGCAACATGCCTAAAATATGTCAGGCGGAGCTTCACAATTCTTGCCTCCAAGGAGCAGCCTGGTTTAACGCTCTCCAGGATGAATCTATTTGTTCTCCTAATCGTCCATGGTGTATCCAGTACTCTTCTTCAGCAAATAGAATTAAATCACTGATAGCTTTTCATTTTCTATCTAGTTCTCAATGTTGGCTGAATATCAAGAATTCATTTTAAGTACCAATACCTATACTCATAAACTCTCCTTGAATCTATTTTAACTGGGAGTTATTTCAATGAAAACAAAATTTTTTTTGCTATTATTTTGGGATATGCTAATAATTATCTGTGTACTTAACATTTTAAAATTGTTTTTAGGGTTTTAGCTTTCCTCTTTTCCTTTAATAGTGACATTATTGAGATGTAATTCACATACCATAAAGTTCATCTTTTTAAAGTGTACAATTAAGCAGATTTTAGCATAATTCACAAAGTTGTACATCAGTCTCTACTATCTAAACTCAGACTGTTTCATCGCCCCTTTCTAATCCATAGCAACTATTACTGTCTCCATGGATTTGAGAATGGTGCCAAATAGAGGAAAGTTCAGATTTATTGTTCATAGGTCACTACGAGTCCTGGAGGACTTGATTTGATGGCACCTCACAACAAGAATGTGTGTTTGTCTATTCTGGAAACTTTGTATAATGGAATAATACAAAATGCAGTCTCTAGTGTATGACTTTTTTTTTATTCTTCTTAAGTGTTCTAGAGTCATCTGTGTTGTAGCATTGTTTCAGAACGTCATTACTTTCTACAGTCGAATAATGTTCATTGTACAAGTACACCACATTTTGTTTTCTACTGATCAATTCTTTTCCTATTTTACTTTTATAAACACTGTTACTATGACCGATTGTGAAGAATGTGTCTGTGTAGACATGTTTTCAATTATACTGGAGAATTATCTAGGAACAGAGTTGCTGAGTCATATGTAAAGTCTATGTTTAACTTTTGAGGAACCATCAAACTATTTTACATAGCAACTGTGCCATGTTACATTCCACTGACAACATTTGAGGGTTTTAGTTACTCCACATAGGTGACATTTGTTATTTCCCACCCTTTATTATTATTATTATTATTATTATTATTATTATTATTATTATAGCTATCCCAGTGGGTAGGATAATCAAGATGATTTTAAAATCTTCTTAAAAATAGGTTTGAAACATTGAACACCAAAAATCAAAGACTAAATGAGTTGTGGGATGACGTCAAAGATATCATCAATGAAGAAAGCAAAAGGTCACTCCAAAGACAGAGAAGAAAGAAAAAAGCCAAATAGATGTAAAAAGAGACCCTGAAAATGGCACTAGAGCATCAAGAAGCCAAAATAAAGGAGAAAGATGTTAAAGTAAGAGTGGAACAGAAGATTTCAAAGGGCAGCTCTAGAAGACAAAGCAGCCTACAGAATATTCAGAGACCTAGAATTGGAGAATAAAAAGAAAAGAACTCACTCAGAATTTCTCAATTAGAAAGAACTGAAAAACTAATTCAAGCCTTGTGTTGCAATATTTAGAGATGCTATAGAAAAAGTCTTGAATGATGCAGGAATTATCAAAAGCAGATCAAGGGAATACACAGAATCACTGTACCAAAAAGAATTGGCCAACACTAAAACATTTCAAGAAGCATCATATGATCAAGAGTCAATGGTAACGAAAGAAGCAGCTCATACTACACTGACATTGGCACTAAAATAAGGCCCCAGGAATCAATGGAATACCAAGTGACATGTTTCAGCTACCAGATGCAGCCCCAGACATGCTCACCAGTCTATGCCAGGAAATTTGGAGTACAGCTGCCTGGCTGACTGGATGGAAGAGATTCATATATGTTCCCATTCCCAAGAAACATAACTCAACAGAATGTGGAACAAATAGTATCATTGATATCACATGCAAGCAAAATACTGCTAAAGATTATTTTTTAAAATTACCAATATGAGAGGGAGGTATGGGAGACGGAATGATTAGAACAACACAAAGATAGAAAATTACCAGAAATACAAGCCTGATTTAAAAGAGGCTATGGAACCAAGATATCATTGCTGATGTCAGAAGATTCTTGACTGAAAGCAAAGAATAGCAAGAGAGTGTCTATTTGTGCTTTATTAACTATGCAAAGACATTTGACTGTGTGGCTCATGACAAATTATGACTAACGTTGAGAAGAATGGGAATTCCAGAGTACTTAATTGTGTTGATAAGATACCCATAACTAGAACAAGAGACTATTGTATAAACAGAGCAAGTGAACACTACTTGATTTTAAATTAAATGTATGTGTCAGGATTGTAACTT